AAAAAAAAAAAAAAAAAAAGATAACACATTAGTAAGGCAAGGATTTCCTTTGATGAAGCCATGTTGATTTCCATATATGTCTGCTATGTCCACCGCGGGTAGTCGGACTCCGGATTTTAGCATTGTAAGTCCATAGACTTACCGATGTCCCACCGGGGAACCTCTAAAACTTTTCCCGCAACATAAGTAAGACTAATTGGCCTATAATTTTCAGGGAAACTCTTATCACCCATTCACCTTTTTAAAAATAGGTATAGCAAATCAATTTGTAACACTGTGGTCTAACCACTAAATAAGAAGCTTTTCTTAATTTTGAAAACGAGTTAGTTCACAATATATAGTTAGAAAGAATTATTGCTCGGTATTGCTATTTATATTGAGAAGCGGTTTAATTTTAGAACATTGTGTTATTCTCTGGTGAATTGGTTTTTCCCCTAATTCCTTTTATATTTATTGAAAGTAATAACACTGACTTCTGTTACTATATTTCAATAACTTGTTTTTGTTTGACCTTGATTGTAATGGCATTGTATTTAGTCTTTTACCAATTCCCCAATTTTTAATTACCTGCTCACTGACATACCAAAACTGAAAGAGAGAGGCTCGAATACCCGATATTTGACTTTCTGTAAAATTCCCAAGTAAATATTGTCTTGCCCTGGAGGTGCTTTTTATTTTTCAATCTATCATTTTTTCTGCTTACCATCAAGTTATTAGTATCTAGATGATTCAGGTCTATTCCAGTATTTCATATAGAATTCTAAAAACTTCTGAGTGAAAGAAAATAATAATATGTCAACCTCACTACATCTTCTGTATCCAGAGCCAACGACATCTTTAACCCAATGCCTGGTCTGGCATAGCCAGGTGGTTAGGATGCTCGACTCGCAATCTGCGGGTTCGAATCCACGTCCCATCAAGCACGCTCGCCCTTTCATCCGGGGTAGCGTTATAATGTGACGGTCAATTCCACAATTTATTGGCAAAAGAGTAGCCCAAGAGTTGGTGGTGGGTAGCAATGACTAGCTGCCTTCCATTTAGTCTTTCACTGATAAATTAGGGATGGCTAGCGCAGATAGCCGTCATGAGCTTTGCTTGAAATTCATAATAAACGAAGCCAAACAAATTAATCTAATGCCAAGGCTCATAAGACCGTCTGTAATATGATAGACATAGCTGTGGCCAAGGCGCAAGGTGAAATATTTATGACTAATTATGTGTTTCTAGGATTGAATAGTTCTAGAGGGCGTAAGAGTAGTGTTTGGTCCGAATTCTAATCTTTGTGACTATAGGTAGAACTAGGATATTCGTATTATTAATATTATAAGTGTTTGATAATTGATACACATATCGAGATTATACTCGTATAAGGTTTTTGCACATCAAATAGCTATATAATTAAAAATCATGGGGTTATTTAGCAAACTTGCTTCATTATTAGGCTTTAAAAGGAAAGAAGCTAGTATTTTGGTCGTTGGTCTAGATAACAGTGGAAAAAGTACTATTATAAATCATTTTAAATCAGAGGAAGATAAAACCATTGACATTGTACCAACAGTTGGATTAAATGTTGAGAAGTTTAAGGTGAAAAGTTTAGGCTTCATAGCGTTTGATATGTCTGGACAGGGCAGGTACAGAAATTTATGGGAGCATTATTATCAAGATGTTAATGGTATTATTTTTGTTGTTGACAGCAGCGACAGCCTGAGAATTATAGTTGCTAAGGATGAGCTGGACATGATGCTCCAGCACAAAGACATTAAAGATCGAAATATTCCAATTTTATTTTTTGCAAATAAAATGGATCTGAGAGAAGCCTTAAGTAGTGTGAAGGTGAGCCAAGCTTTGGGACTAGATAACATGAAATCTAAGTCTTGGCATATTTGTGCAAGCAATGCTCTTACGGGTGAAGGTTTACAGGAGGGTGTGGAGTGGATCACAGATCAGCTGAAGTATATGGTTGAGCAGAACAAACGGTGAATTTTGATGTGCAGTATTCAGTTGTTGATACTTATTTGCACCAATATGTGTTACTTAAGCTTCCGTCCAGCATTTCAGAGAGAGAAAGAAAAATGCACCATTATGTTTGAACAAGATATATCTTAGAAACATTATTATGATAATTTTAAGTCATGACTGAAACATTCAGACTCTTG